GGGGCCAGCGGCTGAGCAGCCGCGCGTCCTCAAAACTGCTAGCGGCCACGGGCACCGCCTCTGGCCGGCGACGGCGGAGGCGCCTACGCTGCGCCGCGCGTCATGTCACAGGAGACTCCCATGCCCTACGGCGACCGCATCCTGAAGCAAGGTCTGCAAGGCGACGATGTCGTCGAGCTGCAGGTGCGCCTGGCGGGCTACCGCGGCACGCTGCCCGACGGCGACTTCGGCTCGGGCACCGAGTTGCAGGTCAAGGTCTTCCAGGCCGACTTCATGAAGATGGCCGCGCCCACCGGCGTGGTGGACCGCGCGACCTTCCTGGCCATCGACCAGCTCGCGCAGCGCTTCCCGATCGACTTCGCCACGCTGCGCTGCCGCTGCGGTACCTGCAGCGGCTTCGGGCAGGGCAAGTTCAAGGGGCTGTACGTCGGCAGCGTCAAGACGGAGCAGAACTACCGCTACGAGTACCCGGGTCTGCACCGCATGATCCTGTGGGCCGCCCGGGCGCTGTTCGCCTACCGGCCGGACATGCAGTTCGTGTTCAGCTCCGGCTACCGCTGCAGCGTGGACAACCAGATCCACCAGCGCACCACCACCAACCATCACGGCAAGGCGGTCGACATCGACATCGTGCTGCCGCCCGGCATGAGCAAGCGCGACGACATGGCGCGCTGCGACGAGGTGCGCGGGCTGCTCGTGGCCAAGTCCAACGCCCAGATCGGCTGGCTGGGCGCCAACCGCAAGTCGCTCGAGCCCGCCGACATCGCGCCCACATGGGTGCATTACGACGTCCGCAGCTACGAACCGAAGTACCTGAAGAACGATTTCTTTTGCCAGGACCTCGCCGGCCTGGACCGTCAGCGGCCGATCACCGTCTGACGGCGATCGGCGGTGGGCGTCACAGGCGCGTGAAGCCGTTTTCGGTCAGCCGCACCTCGTCGCCGACGCGCAGGCCCGGGTCGGCGCTGCGCTCGAAGCGGCGCAGGCGGCCGTCCGACTCGCGCATCTGGATGACCCAGACGGTGTGCGTCTTCTGGTTCTTCTCGATCTCGTTGCCGGCATAGCCACCGGCCACGGCGCCGCCGACGGTCGCGAGCTTGCGGCCCGTGCCGCCG